CTCTTAAACTTTATAAATTTGAAGCCAGTTAATTTTTTTTTTCATTTGTTTATTTTGTATGTATATGTGTTTGTGTGCCATAGCACATATGTGGAGTTCAGAGCACAACTTGTGGAAGTCAGTTCTCTCCTTGCACTATGTGGGTTCTGGGAATTAAACCCAGGTCATCAGGTTTGGCAGCAAGCACCTCTATGTCTGAGCCATCTTGTTGGCCTGAGGCCAATTTTTAATGAATTGGGTACTTTGAGTTTAGTTCTATAGTGAATGTAGACTAGGAGATTGATATATGTTGTGTATAGTCCTGACATTTCTGTTAGTCTTCCTGCAAAACCCCAAGAGATTTTGTTTGCCTCGTTCAGTTATTCTGACCAGGCCTTCAGGGACCTTTAGAGCTTTAGGATATCATTAGATTTAGGTAGATACTCTTTTTAGAAATATAACTTGTTGCTAGGGTATTTAACTACCTAAATCCACTCTGATCAATGAGAATATACCTATATTATAAAATTCTGTTTCAAAAAATTCATATTGGTGACTGGGGACATGGACCAAAGGATAAAACGCTTGCTGCATAAATGTAAGGACCAGAATTGAGGACCAGCCCCTGCTTAAATGCCACGCAGGCGTGGCAGCCTGTCTAAAATTCTACTTATATGGGAGATGAAGACAGAGGATCTTTGGAGCAAGCTTGCTAGCCAAAGTAGCTGAATTGTCGAGCACTGGGTTTAAGTGAGAGACTCTGCCTTAGTGTTCTAAGGTGGAAAGAGACTGACAAAGACACCTGATGTCAACACCTGATATCAACTTCTGTTCTTCACAAGCATGCACTCACACAAACATACACATACACACGCCACATACAATAACACATGTAAAACCAAAATAGGAAAAACTCATTGATATTTAATAACATATTTATAATTGTGAATACTGCTTAATGAGTATGGAACTTTCTTTGAGGGTGATGAAAATGCTTTTTGAACTAGATAAATGCCACCAATGTTATCTTTAAAATGGGTGCCTGCCAAGTGGCTCAGCAGGGAAAGGTGCTTAGGGAACAAGACTGGCAACTGAAGTTGACTTTATCCCTGGAAACAAGTAAAGGGGAAGCAGAGAGCCAACTCCTGAAACTTGTTTTCTGACCTTCACACCTGCTTTGGCATGAGTGCTCCCCGCATCATGTATGTACACACACACACACACACACACACACACACACACACAGACATTAATAATGAATTTAAGATAAATAAATAAAAGGCCAGGTGTGGTGGCGCATGCCTTTAATCCCAGCAGAGGCAGGTGGATTTCTGTGAGTTCAAGGCCAGCCTGGTCTACATAGTGAGTTTCAGGCCAGCTGGGGCTACAGGGAGACCCTGTCTCAAAAAGACTAAAAAAATAAAATAAAATGGGTTAATTTAAAGCAAAACATGGTTGGCATATACCTGTAATTCCAGGATTTTGGGTTACAGAGACAGGAATATCAGACATTCAAGGTCATCCTGGGCTACATTGTGAGTTTGAAGCCAGCCTGTACTACATGAGACCCTGTCTCAATCTCACCTCCCCCAGCCCCTCAAAAATAAAACCCCACAACAATAGGGTCAGCAAGATGGTTTGGGAGCTGGTTATAAAAGTGTTTGCTATGCAAGCCTGACAACCTGAGTTCCATCCTCAGAATCCATGGTTGGAAGGAGAGAACTGACTCCTGAAAGTTGTCCTCTGAACTTCACATGCATTCTGTGGCACACAATTGCCCCCTTCCCCAATAATAAAAAAATTAAAAAACCCAGTAAATAAAAAACAGAACAACAAAAAAATAATACCTTATAAAAGTTTGTGAAACAGGTCAATTTTATGTTGTGTGGTTTCCATTTTTATTATTTCAAATTATATGTCTGTGTTTGTGTCCTCATGTAGGTATGTGCACTTGAGTGCAGGTACCTATAGAGGCCAGAGGTGTCAGATCCCCCTGGTGCTGGAGTTATAGGTGATTGTGAGCTGGTTGATGTGGATGCTGGGAACTGAACTTGGGTTCTCTGCAAGTGGACCTCTGTGAGCTGAGCCATTTCTCCAGCCCCATATGTGGCTTCCGTTTTGAAATTTTTATTTTTAGTTTTATTGACCATGTCTTTTGAGACTTTATAAAATGACTTCTTGTAGCAAGAGAAAAGAATATTTTCTGTAGATGTTAATATAGATAAAAGATCATATATCTCAGATACAGCTGGGGCAACAGTTAAGAGTTCATGCTGTTCTTCCAAAATCAGTTCCCAGCACCCACATAGGGTGGCTCACAACCACCTGTAACTCTACCTTCAGGGGATCTGATGCCCTCTTTTGGCTTCTGGGGACACTGCACTCCCATGCACAAACCTCCACATACAAGTAATTAAAATACTATTACAGGGCCTGGAGTGATGGCTTAGTTGTTAAGAACACTGACTGCGCTTGCAGAGGATGGGTTTGGTTCCCAGCATCTGTCTGGCAACTAACAACTGTCTGTAACTCCAGTTTCAGGGGATCCAACACCCTCCTCTGGTCTCTGCAGGCATTGCATGCACATGGTACAGTTAAATGCAGGCAAAACAGTCGTACATATAAATTTAAGAAAACACATAAAAAGTTTTAAAATATTTAACTTTTGGGGCTGGAGAGATGGCTCAGTGGTTAAGAACACTGGTTGTTCTTACAGAAGACCCGGGTTTGAATCCCAGCACCCACATGGTAGCTAACAACTGTCTGTAACTCCAGTTTCAGGGGATCCAACAGCCTCTTCTGACCTCCGCGGGGATTTCATGACACAGGTGCATTTACTTACATTCAGGCAATACACGCATACAAATAAAAATAATAAATAAAATTAAAAAAATATAAAAAAAATTTAACTTTTAAAGTACATGAAAATTATATAAAATGTATGAAATGACAATCATCTATAGTGTTATACCTTTTTTGTTTTCACTAAAATAAAACCTTTTCCTATGAATGAGTAGCCTGAATGTTTTTCTACATCTTTTAATTTTCTTCTGTAATAATAGTTTTCTGTACATAAGAGTATTCCTTTGTGTGGATATGCAATATTAATGTTTCTACCAGATATGAATGTAAATAATTTCTACTGTAATGAATGTAAATTTTCTACTGTAAATAATAGTGTTGTAAATAGTTTTTTAACTAAACACCAGTGTGTGTCTACTGATTTAAGGAATGTGTAGAATTTCAAAACTTGTCAAATTATTGTTTAGAAATTGTGAGCCAGGTTGTATTGTCACATCTGATAGTATGTGGACAATGTGACATTTATACCCATTCATATAATGTGACAGAGTAAATAATAGCAGGTGTTGAAATACCAGAAGTTCTGGAATATACAGAATATTTGGCTCCCTATTTCCCATTTTGGTTCCATATTCCTATAGCAGTCACAGTCATGGTTTTTGTTTTTTTTTTTAAACTTTTTTTAAAAAAGTATTTTATTTTTATTTTATGTATATGAGTGTTATGTCTGCGTGTAGGAAAGTGCACCCATGTCATGCAATGCCCACAGAGGACAGAAGAGGCTGGTGGATCCTCTGGAACTGGAGTTATGGGCAGTTGTTAGCTGTCATATGCTGGGATTTGAACCCTGGTCTTCTGCAAGAACAGTCAGTATTCTTAACCGCTGAGCCATCTCTCCAGCCCCAGCAATCATGGTTTTAATACTTACTGTGTTTAATGTTTGTGGCATTTATGTTAGGAAGAATACTTCTGTGTGTGTGTGTGTGTGTGTGTGTGTGTGTGTGTGTGTGTGTCTAGGTTTAACTATGTAGCCCTGGTTGGCCTGGAACTCACTATGTAAACCAGGCTGACCTTGAACTCAGAGAGATCCACCTGCCTCTGCCTCCCAAGGAGTGTGCCACCATATCAGGCATATATTTTGAGATGGAGTCTCATGTGTTCTGGGTTGGCCTGAACTCACTCAGTTGCCAAAGATGACCTTGAACTTGTGATACTCTCTGCCTTTGTCTCCCAAGTGCTATAGTTACACACATACTCCGTCACACACAGGACTTGGTGCATGTTAGGCAAGCATTCTACCAACTGAAATCTCTAGATATATTAATAGAATGATATAATAGAATTTCCATGTCATACAGAAATGCATGATTAAGTTTAGAAGAACTGCAGTGTTGTGGCTGTATGTTTTTTCTGTCCTTACAGTAGTGTATGAGAAATGCAGTTGCTCCACAATGTTGTTCATACTTGGTTTTGTGAGTTTTTAAAACTTTTTTTTCCTTTTTTTGAGACAGGGTCTCCCTGTAGTCCCAGCTGGCCTGGAACTCACTGTTAAACCATGCTGGCCTTGAACTCAGATCTGCCTGCCTCTGTTTCCCAAGTGCTGGGATTAAACATGTATGCCACCACACCAGGCAGAGGTTTTAGAACTTTATCCATTTTTGTGACATTTCATTGTGGTTTTAATTTGCGGGTTTTTTTTGTTGTTGTTGTTGACTAATGCTCTTGTGTCTTTTCATTTTAATATCTTCTTTATGACTCTCTATGGTGGCACAGTGGGATGCAACATGATTACATAGTTATACTTAGTGGGATCTGAAATGGCTTCTGTAAACACATGTCCTAAGTATTTCTTTATAGTTTAGTCAAAGGTCTGTCATACAGATGGCATGATTTTTGTAGTTTTATCTTATGATTGAGTGCTTTCCTAGTCTTAAAAGACTAAATTAGCACCTTTAGGTTTTTGTTTGAATTATGCTTATTCTGTATCAGAGATTTCATAACAGGCAGTCAACAGTGATTTGTGTAGATGGAAGACTGATTAAGAGCTTTGTGTTTTTTATGAGCTTTGTATTTCTGAGATTATAGCCCTAGAATTCCTTTTTTTTTAAGCCCTAGAATTCTTTGACTTTTGAACTAATTGATTTAGAAATCCAAGCATTAGATATAAAAGAAATATGGTATGGACAAACAAATGCTTGTCTCTTTTTATTCTTCCTTAGGATATTTTCATTCCATCACCAAGTTTGGAAGAGCGATCAAATGATGGGAAGAAAAGTGTAGATTTACATAGTTCATCTTTGACTGTTGAGTGTTCTAAGACTTCAGAGATTGAACCAAAGAATTCCACTGATGATCTTGGGCTCTCCTTGACAGGGGATTCTTGCAAGTTGATGCTTTCTACAAGTGAGTATAGTCAATCCTCAAAGGTGGAGAGCTTGAGTTCTCCCAGGATTGAGGAAGATGCAGAAAACACGCAAATTGAAGATACCCAACCCTTGTCTCCAGTTACCAATTCTAAACTTGTTCATGCTGAAAATAATATCCTAATGAATCCAGCACAAGATGGCCAAGTAGAACTGATTGAGAATGATGATAAAACAAAAGGAGATGACACAGAGAACAGAGATGACTTGAGTATTGTAGCTTCTGCTTGCAAAGGCAGAGAAGAGACTGTTGCTGAAGATGTTTGTATTGATCTCACTTGTGATTCGGGTAGTCAGGCAGTTCCTTCTCCAGCTACTCGGTCTGAGGCACTTTCTAGTGTCTTAGATCAGGAGGAAGCTATGGATATTAAAGAACACCATCCAGAAGAGGGGTCTTCAGGTTCTGAGGTAGAGGAAATCCCTGAGACTCCTTGTGACAGTCTCAGAGAAGAACCCAAAGAAGAAACTATAGAGAGAATTCCGTTGCACCTTTCTCTGACCGAAACTCAGTCCCAGGGGATGTGTCTTCAGAAGGAATTCCCCAAACCAGAATGCCCAGAATCTATGGAAGTTGAAAGCAGTGTGATTAGTATCGACTCCCCGCAAAAGCTGCCAGTTCTGGACCAGGAATTAGAACACAAGGACCCAGAAACATGGGACGAAGCTACTTCAGAGGATTCCAGTGTTGTTATTGTTGATGTAAAGGAGCCGTCTCCTAGAGTTGATATTTCTTGTGAACCTTTGGAGAGAATAGAGAAATGCTCAGACTCCCAGTCATGGGAGGATGTTGCTCCAGAAATAGAACCATGTGCTGAGAATAGATTAGCACCCCAGGAGGAAAAAACTACAGAATATGATGGAGATATAAAAGCAGTTACTGCAGAAAAAGAGCCCGTAGAGGAAGACTCTCCACAGCCCCTCTTGCCGGTAGTGAGAGCACATGAACCTCCCAGACCTGACCAGGAGATGCAGCAGCCCCAGCTTCAAGACAAAGTAGAGAACTCATTAACAGAAGACTTAAAGCTGGCTAATGCCAAGCAACTAGGTTCAGATGGAGCATCGCAGCAGCTTGAGAAGGCCCCTGCCCGCACCTCACAAAGCTTCTGTGAAAGTTCTAGTGGTGAGTGATGCAGATTTATTTTGAGTTATCCAACTAGGTTCCCATTTGGAGTGGAAGGTAGGGGAGCACTGCAATGGCACACTATGCCAGCACTAAACAATTATGACAATTATATTTGGAATGTTTAGGATTTGGGGTCATGTTTTTCTTTTGTAGATGTATTTGTAGAACCAGAGATCATTTGAGATTTATCAGCATCATAATTCAGAAGTAGTCAATATGTGTAATTAGAAATTGTACCAATCTGGGCTAGAGAGATGGCTCAGCGGATAAGAACACTGACTGTTCTTGCAGAAGACCTGGGTTTGAATCCCAACACCCACATGGCAGCTAACAACTGTCTGTAACTCCAGTTCCAGGGGACCTGACAGTCTCTTCTGTCCTCCACAGACATTGTACAACACAGGTGCACTTACCTACGTGCAGGCAATACACACATGTACGTAAAATAAAAATAATAAATAAAATATTAAAAAAATAAAATAAAAAATAAAAAATTGTACCAGTCTATTTTTTCCTATCTAGGTATTAATTAGCCTTGTACATGCTCTCTCTCATGCATGTTAAGCAGCAGCTACTAGTGAGCTGCACTTCCCGCACAAACATATTTCTATGGTTCTACAAGATTTTTTTGTTTTCACAAGTACAAGGATTCTTTTTTTTTCTTTTTCCTTCTTTTGGTACAGGGTTTCACTCATACAATTCAGGCTGAACTCAAAATTTTTGTCTTTTTTTGTTTTTGAGATGTTTAACACATTATTTTTAAAAAGATTTATTTTTAATTTTATGTGTGCTCCTTTAATCCCAGCCCTCAGGAGGAAGAGGCAGGTGGGATCTCTGGGAAATTGAGACCAACCTGGTTCACCTAGTGTCTTCTAGGTGGGCTGGGACTTAGGGAGACCTGGTCAAAAAAAAAAAAAGATTTATTTTTAATTTTAAAGATTATGTACATGTATATATGAATGTATGTCACATATGTGTGGGTGCTCTCAGAAGCCAGAAGAGGGGGTTGGATTTCCTGGAGCTGGAGTGACAGGCAGTTGTAAACTGCTGGACAATCCTTATACCTAAGCCTCCTTAGTGCTGCACCAATTTTAATTAGATGGTTTTTCATCAGTTGTAAGAAGTGACCCATTCTCTAGGACTAGATGAAGAAAATGCCTACTTTACACAATAAAAAACAGTTAGGAGAGACCTTCCTTGTATTCAGTTTTTCAGACCAGGACTTTTGAGTTTCAGACCTGCCCTGGCTCATTAGCCCACTTCAGTTCTTGGGAGTACTTTCATCTTTTTTGATAAACTGTCTCTTGTTTCTGTCATATATGAAATTTTCAAAAAATTTTAAAATAAAAAGAATTAGCCAGGCATGGTGGTGCACACCTTTAATCCCAGCACTTGGGAGGCAGAGGCAGGTGGATCTCTGTGAGTTCAAGGCCAGCCTGGTCTACATAGTGAGTTCCAGGACAGCTGGGGCTACAGGGAGACTCTGTCCCAAAAAGACCCCCCCACACGCAGAAAAAAGAAACTTTAATACCAATTGGGGAAAAAGGTTTTTTTTTTTTAGGCTGGATGTGGTGGCTTATGCCTGTAATTCCAGCATTTGGGGAGCAGAGACAGGAGGATTGCTCCAAGTTCAAGGTCATCCCAGCCTACATAGTGAATCACAGGCCAGATTGGGCTACATAGTGAGACCCTGCCTCATCCTCCTTCCCAACAAAAAAGAGTTTTAAGTATTGCTTTGAACTAATAAGTTCTGTGACGTTCTCAGTAGTAGGGACACTTCCTTCATGGGTGGTTGGATAATTGGTGTTTCATTTTGCTTCTTCATTCATAGCTTCATTGGTTGACATGCTGACATTCAGAAGGACAGCCTATTGATAATCTGGAAAAGCAAGAAAGGCCTTGACAATTTAAATAATGTGGGAAAATTCCAGTTAACTTGAGGATAAACTATGTCAGTGTTTTGCAGGAGTTGGTGATAATTTTACTCTGTTAACAGTGACTGAGATGAGCAAACAAAAGCATAGAAAAAGGAAAGCACTTGGAGGACACTGAATAGAGGCTTTATAAACATGGATAATTAAAAATGGAAATGTAGGCTACTGCTAGTTCATTGAATGCTGACTAAAGAATTAGGAATTTGTCTTCCGAGCTGGTTAGTTTTTGTCAACTTGGCACAAACTGGAGACCTGGGAGGAGGGAACCTCAATCGAGAAATTTCCTTCATTAGATTGTGTGGGGGCTGGCATTTTCTTGATTACTGATTGATGTGGGGAGAGCCCAGCCTGCTGTGGGCAGAGCTATCCCTGGGCAGGTGGGCCTGGGCTGTATAAGAAAGATAGCTGAGCAAGCCAGGGGAGGCGAACCAGTAAGCAGTGTTCCTCTGTGGTCTCTGCTTCAGTTTCTGCCTGCAGGTTCCTGCCTTGAGTTCTTGCTCTTGCCTTCCCTCATTGAAGGACTATAACCTGTAAACCAGATAAACCTTTTCCTCCTCCAAGTTGCCTTTTTTTTTTTTGGTCTTTTTGAGACAGAGTCTCCCTGTAGTCACAGCTGTCCTGGAATTCACTATGTAGGCCAGGCTGACCTTGAACTCACAGAGATCTGCCTGCCTCTGCCTCCCAAGGACTGGGATTAAAGGTGTGCGCCACCACGCCCGACCCAAGTTGCTTTTGATCAGTGTTTTATCACAGCAACAAAGAAACATACTAGTACATGTTCTATTGGAAGCCTTGAAGTATTTCACCAGAAGCCAGTATGTTGAAAGCCATGCTATCTTGCTTATCCTTTGGTTGCACCAATTACAGAAGTAATTGGGGGTAGGGAAAGAGGGATATTTTAGGCAGAGAAAAATGAATGGTAGGCTGTAATAATCCAGGATGGAGACATTGAAGACCAGATAAAGGTAGTAGCAGTGAGGCCCCCAGGAACTATAAAAATATCAAGTTTTGGGGCTGGAGAGATGGCTCAGCAGATAAGAACACTGACTGTTCTTGCAGAAGACCTGGGTTTGAATCCCAGCACCCACATGGCAGCTAACAACTGTCTGTAACTCCAGTTCCAGGGGATCCAACAGCCTCTTCTGTCCTCGACAGGCATTGCACGACACAGGTGCACTTACCTACATGCAGGCAATACATGCATACACATAAAATTAAAAGTAAAATAAAATAAAAAATAAAATATTTAAAAAAACAAGTTTCTATTTGGTTATACAATTATAAAATTAAATTACTTTTAATAACTCTTACCTAGTATTGTGCAAAAGAAACTCTTATCAGGAAATAATTTCTAGCAATAAATGTTATATTTGCATATTGATTTGTCACATTGTAGGATATCTTTAAAGATTTCACCGGACTTTCAGAAGTCTCAGTTATGATGTATATAGGATGGTTCCTGTCAAGAAAACAGTGGAAGTGGTCTTTCAGTCTTGATCATTTAACTCCTATTTAGGAATGAAAATTATTTGCATAAGTTTACAATGTATGAGGCTTTGCAAGGTGTCCTGTTTGTGTTTTTATGTTGCAGGTTCGGTATCTCTTCTAAGTTCTCGTTAGCCTAAAAGACTTGCTTTACAAGGAGCCACCAGGGAATGAATCATAGCTAGTTTTCTTCTTTCTGTCAGTGGAAGTCTGTTAGTTAGATGTGATTTTGGGATTTTTCTCCTCATATTCTTTAGAATTCCCCCAGCTGAGCATGTATGTACTTCCCCCCTCCCCCGCCCCGCTTCCTTTCTTTCTTTTTTATTTTCTGATTTTTTGAGACAAGGCCTTACTATGTAGCCCTGGCTGGCCTAGAGCTTGCTGTGCGTGTCAGGCTGTCCTCAAACTTGCAGTCATCTTCCTGCCTTTGCCTCCTGAGTGTTGAAATTATAGGCATTGACCACCATGCCCAGTTTATTTCTTTTTTAAAAATATTTATTTTTATTTTATGTGTATGAGTGGATTGCCTGCATGTGAGTGCACCTGTGTCGTGCATGCTGCAGACATCAGAAGAGGGCTTCAGATTCCCCTGGAACTGGAGTTAAGGACGGTTTGTAGCTGCCATGTGGGTGCTGGGAATTGAACCTGGGTCCTCTGCATGTCAGTGCTCTTAACCTCTGAGCCATCTCTCCAGCCCCAGTTTATCCTGTTTCTAAAAACTTTCATTTTCTCCTTTCACTCTCTTAGTAAATTCATTATTCTTCGAAATGTAAGAGATTTGTCACAACGTTGAAAAAACTCTCAAAGTAGTTAGTATCCATGATGTTGAAAAAAAAAATGCAGAATAGTTAGTATTGAAAGAATAAATGCTAGAAATGGAGTGGAAAAAGGTGAAAGACAAACTGTTTCACAAGTAGTAGTTTCTAGGTATGCCACTTGAGAATTAGAGCTAGCCTAGAAAAGCAGTAACAAATTTTCATTAAGTTTCAAAGAGCAGTTTGGGACAACTCTTACTTTTTTCCAAGTGATTATTTTATTAAAAAGACATAAATGATGCTGGGCGTGGTGGCACATGCCTTTAATCCTAGCACTTGGGAGGCAGAGGCAGGCGGATCTTTGTGAGTTCAAGGCCAGCCATAGTTCCAGGACAGCTGGGGCTACAGGGAGACCCTGTCTCAAAAAGACAAAAAAAAAAAAAAAAAAAGACGTAAATGAGTAGGAAACTAGATTTTGTGATTTTGGCAGTTTCCTAATAATGATTAGCAAATATTTGGAATTGGACCTAGTGAAAAGTAGTTTTATACCTTGAACATTTTTAAATATTTGTAAAAATTTAATAGCAAGGAACTAACCATATACATTGGGGATATTTCTTCTTGGGATTTAACATTGTACAGATGTTGAGATTGGCAACTGAAGTGAGTGCTGTTGAGCACAGCTGAACCCTAAACGATTCGATTGCAAGGACCAGTGATGATTGGTGAAGTCATTTTGGCCCACAAGATCCTTTGTCACCTTTTAGAGTAAATTTTAATATCAGACTTTTTTCAATCTGGAAATACTATAGATTGCAAAGGCTTATAAGTGAATTCCCTGGGTTGCATTTTACCATATTATACTGTCTAGACTTGGAAGTATCCAAATTTATATTACTAAGTGCCTCCAAGTAGAGTGTGGTAGATGATGAGTCTGTGCTCCTCAGCCTTTTTCTTTTTTTGGCCTGTCCTCTGGTACCTTTTAGTAGTCTTGCTGTTGGCTGTAAAGAATCAGTGTCTTTATAGTAGCACGGAATTGGTTTGGAAGGCTGGTGAAGGTGATACGGGAATAAGAAAACAAAAAGAACAACTGAATTGTTTTGGTAGTTTCTCATTTTTGCATGATTTATATTTCTATTTGTTTTGCTTTTTATCATTGTGTTTTCATTTTTCCTTTGTTTCAGAAACCCCATTTCATTTTACTTTGCCTAAAGAAGGTGATATTATCCCACCATTGACTGGCGCGACCCCACCTCTTATTGGGCACCTAAAATTGGAGCCCAAGAGACATAGTACACCTATTGGTGAGTGAATTTTAAAAAAATATTTAAGGCACTAAAATAAGATGTTTAAAGAATGTTTAAGATACCATTCTTTATGCAAGTGATGTTTTTAGACCTGAGGAGTTTGGCCTGACTGTTACTGTTGATTCTTGTTTTTGAAGAATAGTGATTTTTGACTGTATGATTTTTACTGTCAGGAGATGAGAAATGGTAAGAGGAAGGAAGACAGGGTAGAGGGAATGAAGGGGGAGAATATTTAGAAGGTGAACTGTTTTATAAGGCAACAAGGAGGAGGGAAGAAGTGCTATTTACTGTACCATGGCTAATCAGTCTGCTGCTTGACTGATAAGAAAGAAAGAAAACATAGATCCCCCTTCCTTGAAGCACCAGGTGGAAGTCTACATTAACCTATTTGTTTTCTCTAGTCAGTGCTGGGAGGTAACAGTCATGCCGCCTGGAGTCTCCTGCTACCTATGCCTGATGCTGGCAGATGTGGGTTGGCGGAGGGCTCATGCAGCATCCTTTGTCCAGATGCAGAAGTGGAACTGAATCCTGTTGCTCCTCTTAAGACCAGGTGTCAATACTAGTTTGTAGTTGTTGATACTTGTAACAGGATCTATTCTAGGAAGTCTCTTCAATCCTGCAGAATGGTGGAGCCAAACAGGCACATTTATCACTTTGAATTGCTATTTTTCATGTTTGTATTTTAGTGTTCTTTCTTTCTTCCTCTGTGCCTCTCTTCTTTCAGGAATTAGCAACTATCCAGAAAGCACCATAGCTACCAGTGATGTCATGTCTGAAAGCATGGTGGAGATCAACGATCCTGTACTTGGGAGTGAAAAAGTGAATTCTGGAGCTGCCCCAGAAATGGATGATAAACTATGCCTGAGAATGAAGCTGGTTAGTCCTGAGACAGAGGCCAGTGAAGAGTCTTTGCAGTTTAGTCTGGAAAGTAAGTTTTATTTTATGTTACTGGATAATTAGTTTCTCCAGATCATTTGGGTATAGTATGAATTATCTTCAATTTACAATGATTGATACTTTTATAATTATAAATGTATTTGTAAAGACATGTTCTCAGATTTTATCTTTGGCTTTTGGCTAGTCCCTGCCATCTTACTGAAGATGAAGATGTTCCATTTTAAAGTCTTTGTTATATGTCCCTCTGTTTTTATTAAGCAGTTTTTTTTTCATATTCAAGAAGAGTTTAGATGAGAGTAGACAATGTAGGATTGCAGATTTACATTGTAAGTTTATATTGGCACTTTTCTAAATGAAATGCACGTTGTTTGGTATGGTTAGAATACAAAAGAAGGTACAAGGTAATGGCTGCAAAGTAGGGACCAGATTCTGAAAGGCTTTTTACAGCATGCCAAGGGTTGTAGAGTTTTAGGCAGGGGATTTTAAAGGTTAGATTTGCAGGGCTGGAGGGATAGCGCACCCGTTAAAGGCTAAGGCTAACAACCAAAACGTTAAAGGTTTGAATCCCACATAAAGGTCAGATTTGCAAAGGGTCAGCTGTATTTTCAAGTTTTGAGCCTTTGTCTGTGGATAGTGCCTTTCTTATTCTTCCTAGCAAAGTCTTATCCAGAAAGCAGGATCATCTGTAGTGAAACTGGAGATGAAGGGATGAATTTGAGAGGCAACTATAAGAGATAGAACTATGGGCCAGTTGAATATGGGGAGGAAAAATAACAGAATGGAGCCAGGAGATGGCTCAGTGGGTAAAGTGCTTAGCTGCCTAGCACATAAACCAGACAACCTGAGTTTGATCCTAAGAGCCCATGTGAAGGTGGAAAGAGAGAACTGACTCTGCAGTGTTATCCTCTGACCTCTATGCACACATAATAATAAAATTTAAAATTCTATATTGCCAGGCCTGGTCAAGCATGCCTTTAATCCCAGCACTGGGGAGGCAGAGGCAGGTGGATCTCTGTGCGATCAAGGCCAGCCTGGTCTACATAGTGAGTTCTAGGACAGCTGGGGCTACAGTGAGACCCTGTCTCAAAAACAAAAAACCAAACAAACAAACAAACAAAAAAATGAAACAAAGTACTATATAATTCCTGCATTTGAGAGATAGAGGCAGGAGGATCAGGAACTTAAAGGCATCCTCAGCTACATACTGAGTTTAAGGCCACTTTGGGCTACTTGAGACCCTGTCTCCAAAACCAAACAACACTAAAAGAAGGAGCTGGCAAATGGCTCACTGGGTGAAGGCATTTATAGCCAAGCCTCAAGACCTGAGTTTGATCCTTGTGTTCCACATGTTGGGACTGTGAATCAACTCCTGCAAGTTGGCCCCTGAGCTCAATAGGCCATGGCACACATGTCCCCCTCTCCCCGTATCCCCTATTTAAACACATATAACACAAAATAAAAATAGAAATGTAAAAAAAAAAAAATCTTTAAAGAATTAACAGTGGGTTTTTACATATTCCCTATCATCTCATTTTCATAATAGTGCCCCAAGGTAGGCATCTGTTGTTAGGTTCATGAAAAGACCAGGACCACAAGAGACCACTCTGAGGTAAGAAAAAAGAGAAATTTATTGGAATACAGAGCTACTGGGTCACTCTCATGGGTGAAAGAGTGGTCAGAGATTTCTCATCACAACAGGCTGGATTTTATAGGATTTCTTTCTTTTGTGGGTAGGGGGGTGGTGCAGCTGTGGCAGAGGGGGTGGAAGGAGTGAGTTAATTGTAGGTGCCTCAGTAGGGGGGAGTTATAGTTAGGTGTTTTTCAATTTTTTGGTTAGCTACGATGGAAAATTACTGTTATGATTAGGGTACATTGTTAAAAACAGGAATCAGGTAGTTACTGAGAGACTAGGGTGGTTTAGTTTCTGTTTCCCAGAATGCTGCCTGCTGGGTTGTGGTTGCCACGTTATTGGTCAGTAGTGACTCCATCTTGGTACCCAGTTCTGCCTAACATCTATGTTTTCATTTTTTGATGAGAAAACAGGCTAGTAGTCATTTATTAAGAGTGGTTTTGGCTAAGGCTCTTCAGTAAATTTAATTATGTGATGCTAGGCAAGTCATTTAACCTCTTCTGTACTTTAGTCTACTTGTCTTATAAACTGGAAGTAACACCTCACAGGATTCATTAAAGATAACATCTATAAAGCTCTTAGGGTTTTTGAAGAAGATGCTATATAAATAAAAACAATATCTACTAAAGTTGGTTTAGCTGGGTATGGTGGCTCATGCCTATGATTCCAGAACTCTGGAGGTAGGAGGTTTGCCATGAATTTCAGGCCAACGTGGCTACATAGTGGGCTTTGTAGTGAGTTCTAGGTCAGCCTGAGAACCTGTCTCAGAAAAAATACACAAAATGAACGAATGGATGAATCAAGTTGGCTTATTTGTGCTTTTCAAAAAAACGCCATTTTCATGTTATCTGCCTAAGGTACCAATAGTTAATAAAAATTGGAGCTGGAACTGGAGTTAGATCTAATTTTAAGGCTTATAATTCTTTCAGCAGATAGTGTGTTAATGCTGTTTAAGGGAGTTAGAAAGAAGTCTTTAAAAAAGACTGTAAAGAAACAATTAGGGGAATTCAGAAAGTAGAACAAAGCCATGGAAGCCTGTGAGGAGAAAAGTTACAAGAAAGTAATAGCGTCAGGTGATAAGAGCTAAGGTCCAGTAGGATGTACTAAAACATGTATGTTGAAGGATATGGCTCTGTGTTTTGGGAGTGAGAATCATGCAAATATCAGGCTTCAGCTCAGACCAGAGAGAATCCTAAAGAAAAATTGGATGCCTTGAGGAAATAACACGAAGATAAGGTATGTCAACATAATGAGATTGAGCTTCGGCAGAAACAAGTTGAATTGTATAGGAAGATCAAATGTCTAAAGCTTGAAGATGAGTAAATGCACATTTCTCCATAGGGTTGTTCTCTCACCTCTACATGTGTACTGTGGCATGCCCCCCCCCCCGATAAATAAAACTAATGTAATAATTTTTTTTAAAAAGAGGAATAGTGGCCAGGTGTGGTGGCACATGCCTTCAATCACAGCACTTGGGTGGCAGAGGCAGGCGGATCTTTGTGAGTTCGAGGCCAGCCTGGTCTACATAGTGAGTTCCAGGACAGCTGGGACTACAGGGAGACCCTGTCT